AACATAATAAAACTAAATCGCTTCCTGTCACCATAACCTCTGTTTAGTTTTTATACTCATAATTTTCCAAATCTCTGTATGGTCTCTATTGGCTTAATTTTGGAACTAATTCCCTCTTTTGATTTATTTTACTATTATTTTGTCTGTGTTCAAATGCCTTCTTCAAAATTTTCTTTTGCAATCTCTTCCTATACATATTTCTTCTTCTCTTAACCTTTTTCAGGGTGGAAAGGGCTTAAGCTTTATTGTTAATTTTACTTTTTTAACTAGTACCTTGCCATGTTTAGTCGAAGATATAATTCTCTCTTAGTGTTGCTACATGTCTTTTGTGTTTCCAACCATCAGTCCATTTTCAGGGAACCACAGATGTATTTTATGGATAGAGCAGGAGGCACAGGGAGTCCTGTTACTGAGCAGGTGTGTAGCAGATTAGTGAGGAAGCTATTGCTCAATTTAATTCCAGCAGCACTCCTCTCTGAACCATCAGCTACTACCTGTTTCTGCCCTTTCCAGATCCATTCATCCTCACCTGTAAATCAACATATTTTTTTTTCCTAGACGTATATGTAGTTTGGAAGCATTATCATGAAAAATGGATGAAACATTAGACCAACTGTATGATCAAAGCTAAAAGAGCTTCAGAGATAGTTTCTTGCCTGCACACAGGCATTTTTGGGAATAAGGCCCTGGCTGAATATCCTATTGCTTACTAGCAAATGTTTTGTCTCAATGTCAATGCCAGATTTTTAATTGCCTTTCTCCCTGACATTAGATATGTAGTCTAAGAAACTGATGTTGCACTGCAGCTGGAGGCTGACATGAGACTGAAGTGACACATCCTTTGCCGTGGAATATTTTTCTCCAGCTGTTCCTTTGCGGGGAGGGTTACAGAGACTGCACCTGTGCACAATGGGGTAGCAGCAGCCCGGGAGGATTCCCTGCCATAACATTTGTCTGTAAAACTCATACTTTCTCCCTGAGGAAATGGGCTTATGTCAACAAAAATGGAAACTTCAAAAAAATCTGTGTAGTGCTGGGAAAAGCTAAGCATCTTTGCTCTTGAATGTGTGGGGTGATTAATTTTGTGTGCCATATTCCTCACACACACATTCTTCTTCTTTTGCCAAAAGCTGAATGTAATTGGCAGCCTGTGAATGTCCATAGTTGCCAGACAGCTTAAAATTGAGATACTGTGAAATGCAAACAAATGGAAATGTTTCTCCCTTGTGTAAATATGCAAGAATTATAAAGCATTAAATAATGCTTGCAAAGAGAATAATTTAAGATGGTCAAAGATGAACCTGAGGTTCTCGTGTACACACCTGGAGCAGGAGTCGAGTTTGAATGGCCTGGACAAGAGGGTTCTACCCTACAAACTGAATTTGTGCCCCCTTTTTTGGTTACTAATGCAGCAGCTTCCTAAAATAGCTGTATTAAGACGTAATCCTTCACACAGATAGTCTCACATGAGGGTAAAAGTAACTTATATTCAAATAACTTACATTTTTTCCAGATGGACATAAATCACACTGATTCAAAATACCATTTCTGTTGATGTAGATGTGTCCACACTGGGGAAGGTGAAGTTTAAGCAAAACACAAGCAGCTTGTATATATCAAGAAGATCCAAGGGAGTGGGGACATAGTGAGTCCTGCTGGTACTCCTACTGTCAGAGCATCAGTGGCCTGCTTCACTGAAGGAAAATTACCTGTATGTACCTTGCTTGTTCTCTCACTCCCTTACATTTTCAGTTTTTATTTTCAGATATAGCTTAGCCACAACAGGACAAAGTACAAAAGAGCTTCAGAAGCTCAGGCAATGGAGAATCTGTTGTCATCTCTGCTAAAAGTCTGTCAGGTAAGAGGCTCATCATTTTCATTCTGAGCCTCCATTTACCTTCCTTCCTTGTCTGTTCTCAGCTGAACATGCACAATTCATAACCATGTGTCAGTAGAGTGCCTGGGGAACTAAACTGCTGTTTTTTATAAAGGTGAAAGAATAACACAGCTACAGGGTAAATTAGAAAAAGAGGTGGCCAAGCTCAACTTAGCTGCAGTCTGAAAATAAAGAAAACTGTGCCAACAGACTAAAAATATAAATCTTCTTTTACAAAAACACAATTGTACAGTTTCTATTTTTGTGAACACATCTGCTCAACATTTATATGTATCTTTTGTTATAGATCAAAAATATTTTTGAGTTATCTCTTCTGACCCACCAATGGCCCACTTTATTTAGCATTCAATTCTGTCAGAGCTTTCAAAGCGTAGTGTTCCCCAATACTGCCATTAAGTTGAATAATACATGCACATGGTTTAATCCAAGCTGTCTCCAGCAGTTAGTCTCCTTCTGGAGAGTATCCAGATGTTGCTTGAAAAGTGATGACTGGGAAAGAAATAAACAAATTCACTTGACGAATTGGCCAGTGTATCTTTTGTCTCAGCTATCTTCCACTTCAAAAATCTTGTTCAAATAAAATAACTGTGCCTGAGACATTAGCAGACTCTTTTCATCCCCAAAGGTCAAGGTTTTTTATAAAGATGGTAATACATAGCTATCCCAGGCAAATAGACATGAAACTGAGGACCATCTTCTGGGTTAAACTCAGTAGAAAAGCAAAGAGAGAAACCTAGATAGTCTGGAGTATTTGGTCTCCTTCAACTATGAGAAAAATTCCTTTCTACATTAGCCATTCTGTCTGCAAAACAAAATGTTTCTGTTCAGAGTGCAAAAATATGACTAAATTGTAGTGCTCACTCTTCAACTCTGGGCTACCAGGCAGCCAACAACAACCCTTTCCCACTGTAAGAGCAGTCCATGTGAGGAAAATATTTGTTATTAATTTCTGCAAGGAAGGTGCTGCAGCATCACTATTAAGCCAAGGAGCTCAGTATTCCTGAACTGGGTTTGAATAGTTATTTTTTAGGTTCACTCTCCGGTTACATAACAACATATGCTTTCCCTATGTACAACATTAAAATAGACTGAGATTTAAAAAAAAAAGTACTCCCACTGCAAATGATATGGCACTGATGGTTACTACTGATAGACCCATGTTTTTCTCCTCCAAAGCCAGTTACATGCTGCTTCAATCTGCCATGAAATGCCTGTAATCTCAGACCCATAATGTAATAGCAATATGCAAGGAAATGATCCCAAAGAAAAAGTATCTGCTTGGCAATCAGAACTTGGAGATTGTCCCTTAAAGTGTTGTATGTCCCTGGATCTCCCTAGTGTTTCCAGTGGATATTTTGTGTTGGAAGAAGGAAATGCCTCAGCTAAACCTGAAGGCACCTTTTGGAAGGTGTTCTAAACCTCAAGGATTGTCAATAGCAGGGATCAGTCTATGCTGGTGGCAGATGTTTTATGCTTGATACTGACTGGAAGGAAAATATCCTACCCAGGAACTGTCAAGCACAAGATGTCTGCAGTGTATTAGAGCTTTAGAAATAAAATACCAGGTTGTGATAGAGGGTTGCTTTATGTGAAATTTCTCTCTCGTCAAAATAATTTTCAGGAAGAATTGTTTTTCCTTTTTTAACACCTGTTTTTGACATTTCTGATACAGAAAAGCTTTTTGTTGTAGTCAAAATGACTCTGTTATGATATGTAGATGTAGGTAAGATGTTATAACTGATAAGTTTGAGTGGTTCCTGCAAAGAGTTCTTGCACATGAAATAAAAATGTATGCCCTAACACCTCTCAACCTTCCGATGCCATAAACAAATGTGGAAATGGAAAGGGCAAATTCTCAGCTGTGAGCCAGGATTAAAACAAGAAGCAAAGCCTATCTTCTCTGAGCTGCACTTTGTGCTAGTCCCCCCTCCTCCCTTGCCCAGCACCTCCACCACTGTGAGGATTTTAAACCAGTTGCCCATGCTAAATCCTGGACCTGAAACCAGCATGATACTGGACATGAACAATCTTTCATATTGGTGGATGATGGTTTTCAGAAAGAGCAGAGCCCTTTTGCACCTGTGCAGAGGTTTGGACAGAAAGGTCCAGGTGGAAATGAACTCATGGACAGAGAGCAGGTGATGAGGTTAAAAGTGCATTCACCACTCGGGTATCAGCAATGCGGACATGCCTCTGTGTGTTTGGATTCCAGTCACAGGACTCTGAATGCACCTGTCTAAATCAAGGGGCTGATCAAACATTGAGCTGTCCTCAGCCAGACACCCCAAACTCTCCCAGATTTACCTTCAACACTCACTGGGGACTGCTGCAATGGATGGAAAGGCACTGTTCTTAAGAAATGAAGTCTGGAGAGAAATAAGTGTTCTATGTGATTATTTCATACTTTTTGGCTTCTCTGATTCAGCCTAGCACTGAACCTCTCCCTTCTCTCCCACTTCCTATTCGCCCCTTGAGGCCTCCCTGACCTTGCAATCCACCCACAGTTTCCATGTTACTGTCAGCCTCCTTTCACTTGACTGATGAGAAATATGTGATTATTCAACACATCATAAAAACGGCCAGAGCAAATGAAGGAGAAATCTGGAAAGTATTTATAGAAAATCTGTAAACAATCATTGTAATCCAGCTATTCAAAGCTGTGCACACATTAGCTTATTAGCTGTAGAGCTGTCAGATTTCTTTTGTTATTTCACCTTTTTTTAAAAATTAAGTGCTGCTTTGTTACATTCACAGCCATTTTGTATTTCAGAGACTTCTGTTAGCAGACACAATTTCTTTTTTGAGCTACAATAAGTGAGATTTTCTTTCCTTATGACTACACATCATTTCATTGACTTCAGAGGTTTGACAAGCACTGATTAACTGATGTTCCTTGTGTGCTAAAAGGCTTCTTGAAGCAGCTTCAAGCACATGTATCTGATTGCTGCGGTACAGCTCAACATCGCATTCAGATAAGCGGGAAGGAGGAGGTGAGAATGGAAAAGCTGTGAAACTCTTCTGGAAAATGGCACAATATAGTGGTGGGGCACATGTTGCAAAGTCTCCCTTTTCTCTGCAAGAGGCTGAGGTGTTTCTTACTCACCATAGCATGATTTAACCAGAGCGGGATGACTCCATCAAGGCTTTTGGGGTAAACCAGCTCTCGGTTGTAGGTATACAGCGTCCAAAAGGATATACACACAAACTGGAACCAAAATGCAAAATGAAAGAAATTTAAAAATGGAAGACAAACATAATTGATAGGATTTGGTTAGTGTGTTCATTTCTGAGAAGGCAAAATGTCTCCATGCTTTTTTACATGAAAAATGATGACACTGCCAGATAGACTCATGTTATCTCACATTTACTCAGAGATGCAGTGTTCTGTGTTGATACTGAGAGAAAAAATACCCCTGCTTTATAAACTGCCAACACTGACATTTTCTGTGGAATCTGAGATTAGCTGCTGCTTTTCTTTTTTTTTTCTCTTTCACTTTCCCTTTGCAGATGGGATTTTTTGATGGTCAAGTAGTTCTCCTCAAGGGACTGTCTGTCAAGCCTTTGTTTTGCTCAGTAACAAAATAAAAACAGATCTTGATAAGGCAGGTCATGTAAACTTACCCTTTACCTTCACAACTCATAAGCCTATTTCCTAAATTGCAGGTGAAAGCTGCACACCATGGGAACCCTTTTTCCCCCCAATAAATCAGGAATTACAGTGGGACAACTTAACTGGAGGAAACGGCCCCTGGTGTCAGTTATTGATACCTGGAAGCTGATTAATAATTTTTAGCCGAGCTTTGTATTTGAACACACTTGGGGTTAGAAATCAGCAGTGTGAGCTGCTGGAAGAGGGAGACTGTGCCACAGTCCTGCGGGCATGGTGAGGATACCTGGCAGGATATGAGAACAGCATGGTGAACACTCTGACTCCATCCCTGGCAGGGCTTTTTTAAGGAGCTAGCTAGCTGAGCTGCTTGTGGACCATGTTTAAGCAGTATTTCTCAGCCCTCTGGGATTCAGTGGTGGCTGCAGGCATCACTCTTACAGAGCATACCTACATGTGTACATAACCCATCAGTTCCTGTCCAGCCCACAGCATTTTGATAAACTGTGAAGGAGTAGATGATCCATGATGAATCTGACGTAGGTTGTGACTATAAATATTTTTCTGTGAATCTGTTTCTCTCCAGTGCTTATTTAAAGCTACTTTGGCATCAAAGAAGGAGATGTGAGGTTTTGCTGCCTCTTAGGTACCCTCTCGTGTCCTCCTGACCTGTGCTGCCCTTTAGAGAAAAGCCCTAAGTTGATAAATCCACAGCTATTTATTTGTACCATGAGATTAACAGAGAGGTTACATCTCATTCACCCTTTGGGGTCAATCTGTGTCCACTTGAGGACAACAACCCTAATGTTTGTGCAAGAGGCTTTGCTGTCAACCACAACAGGCTCAGTGTTGTTTCTTCTTCTAAATGGTCCAAATCCATTCCAAATTCAATGGTAAAAGAAAGCCCTTAGTTCTTATCTGTCTTAGTTCTATTTCATGCACATACTTTTGGTACTATACACCCCTAATCATTTATGCAAACGTTATTTTCACATACAGTGACAAAGGGTACTTACTGTGGACACTGGGAAAGCCAGGACACTGAAAAGAAGGTCTCTGCTGGAAATTATGCACTTAGCACATCGCAGTTTCTTAATTAGTCTCAACACATCAGCCAGGAAGGACACCCCATAGAAGACAGCCTGCAAAACCTAAAGTAATTACACCTAATGAGGGAAACTCATCCAGCTTTCATTAGCATGTTCCTCAATGAAATCTGTTCTTGCTCTTCAGGGAGCTGTTTTGTTCATGAGCTGCAAGCCTGTGTGAGGGAAATAGCTGTTGACTAAATCTCTTTTACTAACCCAAACTGATTAAATAAACTTGGTCAGGTCATAACTTTAACAGTATCCCAGTTAATAGATTAAACAGAGATGGGTGAAGTGAAGAGACATGTTGAAAGCCACCTCCATCACACTTCCTATATTAATGGCTGACCACTGGATATATCTGAGCAGGAGAGAACAAAATATTCAAGGACATATTTCCTGTAAAGCAATTGCTAGATAGCTTTCCCACTATTTAGCCAACACAGGTTCTTCTTTTTAGGGACTCACGGTAAAATTGATCTCATTGCCAAGTAGTTCAAAATGATCTAAGGTGAGAATTAGGTGCAGAAGTTACATAAACAGAACCTCTTTTGCTGAACTCAAAGGGATTCAAGAAAGGATTTCAGGTGCTTAGAAGCAAAGATCCAGACATCAGTAACTAAAAATGAAGTTTTACTTAAGTTTAAATGAAACAATTTATAACTAATGAATTTTAGGATTGGGAGATTGTGTTTTGAAGTTTTTTATTCCTTCTTTCTTGAAATAATTTATAGGTAGTGAGGGTGGGATTTTTTTGGGAAGGACACTAGGATGATCTGGTAAAGAATTAGATACATGCACAGCGACAAAACAGAGTTCTCCAAAATATCTATTATTGTGGTTTAAACCTATGTTGCTTTTCTAATTGCCTCATTTTCTCACCTAACACTACACAGCAGATCAAGATGAACCAGATTTGTCAGACACGCAAAGGCAGAATAGAACCTTGCAGAAAAATACTTCTCCCACTGTGTGCATTTAGCACCAAGTCAGTTCTATACACTTAACTCATGGAGTGACCTCTTCTTTTTAAGGCTAGGTTGTCCCAGAGTAATGCAATGTGGGAACTGCAGCCTACTGCAAACACTGGATCAACAAGTGATGCTTAAATGGAAAGAGGGCTACAGCTTTCAGATGAGATCTCTTTTGCCATGATCTTACTCTGACTCAGATATTTATTTAGAGCTAAGTCTCTGAAGTTGTGGCTGGTTATTTCATCAGTTTCTGAAGAAGCTGAAAAGGGTGGTGCTTGGGAGGGGACAGGATTAGTGCAATGTTTTTTCCATCAGAAATTCCTTTATTATCAAAATATATGAGGGGAGGAGGAGACTATGATTTCACCATGCCTGCTGTCAAACAAGGGCTTCTGCAAGCTTTCGTTTCCAGACTCAGTCTTCCTGGGCAACAAAATTTCCATAGTTTGCAGTTATCTGCAGCCATCCCCAAACATTTTGTTTCTTCCCAGCACATGGAAAAGATACAGTCTTCCTTCCCTATCCTTTCCACAGCCCAGAGAGCCACGACAGTAAGCACCACTGTTGGATTGTCCCTCTCCCTGTGCAGACCCACAGCAGTGGAGGTAGGGTAGTGCTGACACAGGCTGAGTAACTGGCCCAGGGTCATCCAGGACCAGGGACCAGAGGTTGTGCATCACCCACTTCATCTGCAAAGCCACATGTTTCCTATCAAGGCCTAGGGTGAACAGACACATCTTTGCATAAAAAAAACCCAAGCAGCTTCATCAGAACCCACAGAGGTCTTTGTTCAATTCTGAGGCACCCAAAGCAGCTCTTTTGAGTGTGATTTTTCTCTCCCCATTATCACAATTCACAGGCAGTACTTCAGTCAGTAGGGATTCAGCCATCCAAGTCATGGGTCTGGCTCAGTAAAGTCCATGCTAGGGTGCAGTGTACACAAACACATGTTCAGCCCAAATGCCTGTCCCAATCCTTGGCCTCACCAGGACACCAATACTGAGATCTCAAAGAGCCAAGAAAAGCCTGGTAATAAACAGAAGCTCTTGTTACACCCTGTAGAGTCAGCAGTAACTTTCTGTAAAAGGCATGAAAAATGAATGTGAGGGTGGTGACAGTCCAGTGACACATGGTGACTAATTGCCAATAAAGCAATTAGGGAGAAGCCTGGTTCCCAGAGGATGGGGCTATTATTATCTTGTTCATGGTCAGCCTTACATTAATCATGGGACAGGGATAGGCTGCTTCTTTCCCCACTGCAAAATTAACTAAAATAAACATTACTGAAAAGAAACAGTCCCAAAACAGCCACATTCTCAGCCTGGTAAATATTCTGTTATTCACAGGGGAGGACAATGTTATCTTCTGTATGGAAAATTCTTATCTGAATGTGTAACCTGACCCATTTCTCTGGCTAAACATGGAGAAGAACAACTCCTGAAGAAGTGTTTGAACTCAGCCTTAGGAGCTTGGACTTATGCTGCTGCAACTCTACCCTTGTTCAAAGGTGTTTCAGACAATTTAGTGCTCACCCTGTATTTCCAAGAGCAATGGAAGGTTATACAAGTAATTTTCAAACCAGAAAACTGAACTTAGCTAGGATCATCCCTAGTACTGTGCAGTCTGGCATTGTATACCCTCAGTAGATTAAAATCTGAGCTCCAAACCTATTGGGGTTATTCTTTTAAGAAAGGTGCATCTAAATCTTGTAGCCCTCCATTAAAGGAAAAATGTTGACATTATAAAAAAAAAAAAAAGTGAAAACATCAAATTATTCCAGATGTCCTGTGAATTTCCCAAGCAGCAGTGCTGGCACTCAAATCCATTGCAGGCACTCATGGAATATAAATCCACTGGCTGTAAATAGAAAGGATTCCCTAAAGTGTTCCCACACGAACAGAAGGAAGACTGGAAGCATTTAGAAAGCTAATGATTAACCCGAAGAGGAGAATATGGATATGATTATCCCTGCTGGAGAGAGGCTGCTTTCCCCTCTAGACCCTACATAGTTCCATGGTGCTGGGTGCTGTAGAAATATTTAATTTGGCCAGATCAATTTTCTCAGTCTCAAACTGAGACTCACAGTGACAAAGACAGAGCTCAATTTTTATCTGGTACAGTGATCAAGAGGGTGTTTCTGTTTAACTAACCCGACATGATTTACTTTTGTATATAAGATCTTGCCATATGTGTATATTGAAATCTCCAACTAGTACAAATAAATCGGGCTCCAAGCTCTGCCCTTTAGGGAGGGATAAATCCAATATTCTGAGCAAGTTATTAGACATAAAAGTCAACATTTAGTGTAGACACGCATCCATTCACAGATAGTCCCTTGGAAAATATCTTTACTAAATACTGGGCCTATTCTGAAATAAGTACAAAGCAGTTTTCAGGACAATTTAAAAGTACTTCCATTATGAAAGACAAAATTGTAAGGAATAAACTGAGGCAGGAATGCAATTAATAGTTTTTAAAGGTGCAGTACGCTCATTATGCAGTGATTTACTAATGGATTTACAGCAGTGAGCAGATTTTTATGAGCTCAGATATTTCAGGCAATGAATGATTCCACTTGCTCTGTTTTATGTCATAGATGAATGAAATTAATACAAAACTGGTTTTATCTGTCATTTCTGTTTCTTCAATAATGGGTCAAAGAACCTCTTTGATAAAAAGCCCACTTATCCTTTTTTTTTCCCCTACAAAAATATTTCCTTACTGAATCGTGATTGCTCTGATCATTAAGAGGATGAATTTGAAGAAATGTCAGATATGTAGCTCTCTTGGGAGAGCCATATGACTAGCAAGGAATTGAATGAGGTGCTAAAAGAGCATAATATCTAGAAGGAATTCTTCTAGCATCTCTCCAGCAAAACTGGGAGACAAGCAGCATTTCCATCCCTGGATAATGTTACTTTTCCCAGTATTTCCATTTCAGATCATGGTGAGGCAGCCAGATGAGCTTTCCCCAGAAAGAAACTTTTAAATGCTATTCCAAAGAAATAAGAGAAAACTTGGAGGGAGAATTTCCAAGTGATTCAGATAGCCAGTGCCAGAACCCAGGCAATCCCAGTCTGGCAGGACACAGGCAGAAGAGCTGGACAAAGGCTGTCTCTGTGTTCCTGGCTCTGGGGAAGCTTCCAAGGCACTGCCGAGGCCTGCCCAGCACAGCAGATCCACTGAAGCAGAACAGCCCAGAGTGAAGCTTTTGCCTGCTCCTCTTCCTCACGACCATACCTCTGACATCCTCAGGTGTTTTCTAGGGCTGTGTCCAGACTGACAGAAATTCAGTGCGTTGGATATGCACCCAATGGACAAGTGTGGTTGACAGGCACCTCTTGTTCCTTGATGTTCCTCAACAACAACAGGGAGTGGCTTAATATCAGACCATAGGATGAGTCCTTTGAGTCCAGTGGATTCCCACAGAGAACACCACAGCATGTGGAACATGTTGTCTTCTCACCTTCTTCCTCTCTTATACGGAACTTTTTGCCACCTCTTTGCTGCTGCTTTACCAAAAAATGCTACTCAGTTCAGCACAAGAAGGGGGATGGCAGCATTTCCTTCCTGAATGCCTCTTCATTTTTTGGCAATCCTTTCTTGAAATAAATAAATCTCTGAAGAAAAAGGACTACCTTCCATGAAGGAGTAATTTTGCACACCCTTTCCCATTGTCACGTTTTCTGCATGAGATAGGCAATATCTTCAGCCCAAACTTTCAGCCCTGTTGTCTGGCAGTTCCATTTTAGCACTGGGATCAGATAAATGAGTGGTTAAAATTTGTGAGTCAAAAGACTGGGGAAGTGGAGCAAGAGCCCTCACTGATGGAGATTTAGTGAGTCCTGAGCTGTTCAGCAGATCTGTAAATGAGCTGGCAAAGGGAGCAAAAGAGTGGTACATTTTCATGAATCTGATGGGTTTTTTTTCCCTGTCAAAGCAAACTGACTGTAAAATCTAGAATCTCAGGATATTGAGTGCCTGAGTGCCAAAGAATCTCAGGATACCAAGTGCCTGAGTGATCAAATAGTAGGCAAAAATCAGTGTTGATAAGTGCAATGTAATGAATTTAAGAAAAAAATTAAAAAGCAGATTAAATTATATATTTTTCAACCGTGGGTTCTATATTAGCTGTCACCATCCAGTAAAGAAATATTAGACTCAGGGTAGATAACTCTCTCAACTTGCTGTCTCCTGGCCTACCAGTGATCAAAAAAGACAAATAAAGTGTTAAGAGTAGTCAAGAAGAATTAAACTACAAACAAGGAAATACCTTTAGGCCACTGTATAAACCCATATATGCTCATAACTTGACCACTGCAGCCTTCCCCACCTACTCCCTCCTGAAACTTGAAAAATTGCTGCAAAGGGTGACATGGATGCTTTAATAAAATAAGCAACCCTTTGTGAAGAGAAATGAAAAAGGCTTGGACTTGTTGCCTGCAGAAAAGAGTAACTGAGAGCATAATCTAATGCCACTCTAATGAACGGCAAAGAAAACATGAACAGGGATGGATGATTAGATTACAACACAGAAATAATGAGGCATCCAGCTCAGTTGTTAAGGAAGCATGTTTACACCAACAAAATGAACTGCTCTTTCACACGAGGCACACTTGCCTCATCGTACAGAGGACAGGGAAAGTACCAGAAGTATGAACAGGCATGTTTTTTCTTCAGATAGATGAAAGGAAGGCTTTGAATGGGTATCAGCTATCTTAGCATGGGTTTATTTTTTGGCTGGATATGCTAGTGGGACAGTAAAGCTACAGAAACTTCAGTTCATGCTTGTACATGCTCTTGCCTTGTGCAGCCTTTCCTTGACCATCCACTGCTGGTCACTAAGGGAAGCTGGATGACAATTTCAGTGAGTATTTCTTCATCCCAAAATACTGGGAGATTGGTTACTTGCTTTGTCCTTTTGATCCCATGCTTTAAAACTGAGTGGTAAACCTCAGTGTAATGGTGCCAGAGGATGGGGATGGAGATGCTATTTTGCTTGAAAGTATGGGTGATATTTTAGTGGGGTCACCATTTCCCCCAAAATGGCAATACTGATAAACAGACAACATTGCAATTAGCATTACAAATGCCACCTGACTGCAGTTATATATGTGTGTCTTCATCCTTCCACAGCTGGCGTGACCAGCTGAGGAGAGTGCTGGAGCTCCCAGAATCCCTGGGTTGTTGTGGTCACTTCGCTTGCCATTCACTGCCTCTTGGCTGCAAATGTTTCACAGAGTCACAGAATGGAAGAGAACCAAAGTGCCCACCTCCCTGAAGGTCTCCAACAGCCCCACTTGGAGCTGGGGAGCCTTTAGGCTTCCACTGAACTCCAGCATAGGGTGTCTCCTTCTGAAGGGTAAAAGTAGAGACAAACATGCCCCAGACCAGACCTCTCACTGGTATTTCACTCTGATGGTCACACAGAATGGATGAAAGGCTATGTAGGTCTCTGCAGTCATCCTTCAAATTAGCAAGTGTGCCTGAAATTTTTCCCTTGCAGGAAACCTCTCCACAAGCCTGGTCTTTCCACCCCACCAGCACTGCTTCCCTGAGCTGCTGATGAATGCCTTGGACTCTGAACAAACCTTCCCTGGGTATCTCATGTACTTTCACTTTGATTTCTAACCTGTGAAATGATAGCACATTAGAAGAACCAGAAGACATTACAGTCTCTTTTTCTATGTGCGTTTAGGAAATGTACAACCAGTTGAAAGCACTGCTGAAACTCATGTAATAATATCACAAGCACCCTCTCCACAGGCTGGTATTTCTTTCCCTTGTGTTCTCAAATGATTGTCAAATGAAGCAGGTACTCTGAAAGGCTAAATTAGCATGGTGGTCTGCTTTGTTTCACTTTTCCTGTAATTTAGAGGACATAAAAGCCTATTAAAAAAAATTGTAGTAAAACTCCAAGCAGTGCTGAAATGTTTTGAATCAAAGGTTAGAAAACAAGCACCAAACTATGTGTCCTGCCAGGACATACCCCCACTTTTCTGTCCTTCTCACTGAAAATGTCTCTTACAATGAGGCAGCTAGCTTCAAAGTACTTTCTGTCAACAAAGCATCTCACCTGTCAATATTCTTTCTGCATGAAACCTATGAATACATTTCACAGCACAAGCACAGATCCCTCCTTAGTTTCCTTTGGGGTAAAAACCACCAAAGGAAGCAGTTTAACAGCAGCAAATACACCAGCTGCGTATGTCTTGAGGCGCAGATGGCAGACAAACAAACAGACATATTGGTATCACTGTACAACAGGATTTGCTTACCAGATTGAGGACTGTCAAATATTTCCACTGCCCACCGTAAAGGAACACTTCAGATGGCCGCTCCTCTGTTTTCACATGTGTGATGGAATAGGCAACGAAAAAGTACCAGACAAAAGCAAGGCAGTGGTACATGGTCAGAGTAGAGATTTCCATGCTTCAGCCAAGAGCAACTGACAGCTGCTCTGAAAGCAGCTTTTTTTTTAAGGTGCTCAGTGCATGGGATAAGGCAAGGCAGGAGGGTTTACTTCAGAGCAGTCTTGGGACACGATGCCACTTTGCTCTAGTCAAAAGGAAAAATCACAAGGCTGTGAACTTTGATTCTATTTGTTTCCCTTTTCACTTTACAGATAGGCTGGGAGGTGGGGGGGATGAGAAGAATAGGCTTATTCCCTGGATTTAAATGCCTTGCTCAAGATTAACAAAGATTAGTCTCAGAGTTACATAAGTTTTGGGTTGGCTTACGTTTTTGCAATAGTGGTGGGGGGTGGGGGGGAGTTTTGCTGCTGATTTTGTGTAACAGGCTGTCATGTGTTGGGTAGAGAGTGAAATCAAGTGACATTTTCTTCACTTATAGATGTGTGTGCAGCCATATCTCCAGCTCAGCTTGGGAAACCTCTGTGACAGTTTTTGCCTTGTGCCAAAGAAAGAAATGGGAAATGTAATTGCCTCTGAAAGAAAAAACTAGCTGATTTGTTTATAGGCTATGGAGGTAGCAAGGAAGCTGACAGGATTCACAGGCAAAAGTCCTTGGGGCTGAAAATCTCTCTGGCTGTTAACTTTTTTTTTTGGTGGGAAAAGGCTCTACCACCTTTATGCTGCACCCAGCAGCTTGGAATTCATCACAGGTGTGCATAGCAGGTTGGACAAACCCTGAGTCACCCTGAAGCTCTGGCAGGGATGGAGACACAGGACAAAGGCCTTGTGTGATAAATAGGAAGTGCTAAGCAGTGTGTCTTGCCTCTCTGCTTCTTTATTTGCTGCCATTCACCTTCAGACAGCCCCTCTTCACTGGCACATCAGTTCATCATCAGGGCTGAGAAGAAGAGAAGAACCAACACAAAATTACCCTAAAATGAAGCAAACAAAAAAATTCCCATGGGAATTGTTGCTTTTCCCTCTCCTCCTGCTTCACCAAGCAGTCATAACTAGCACTGGAAAACCTAGAGTCATCATAACTGCTGTGCTCTCAGCAGAAATTGCCACCTGAGTGTTTCTTGGGGGCCCTGATGGGGAACAGGTATCACACCCCAGCCCACAGCTGGACCTTCCTCATGCAGGATGGGGAGGCAGGATGCTCTTCCTGCCCCTGCAGACATTGCCCGGTGGGCAGGGTTCAGCTTTGTCCAAGCAGACTGCATTAGGAGATCTCTTTTTCCTCCCCTTTTAACTGGCCTACAGACAGTATTGAGCAATCTGCTGTGTTTTGGTTTGGTTTGTTTTTATCTGTTTTTTTTTTCTCCTCCTACTGGATGCAAGGCTCCATGTGGGATAATTTCCTATTAATTCAGACAGCAATGTGCCTGCATGTTGGGCAACAGATCTCACGCTATGGCATTTCAGTATTCTCCTGTGTTTCATTGACTTCTCCCCTAATTCAGATTGCCAGCATCCAGATCCCCCAGGAATTCCAGCCACCACAATCCCAGTGAATTGTTGCTGCCTTACTTATGAAAAATAAAGATGTAGAGCGTTCTGTGGTTGTTTGAGGTTGGAAGAGAAAACTCCCTGCCGGGAAAAAAAAAAAAAAAGAAAACAAGATGATGGAATTATGTTTTTTGTACTCTGACAATGTCACCAGTCTTTTCATAGAATCACAGAATCCTAAAATTTTTTGGGTAGGCAAGGACCTTAAAGATCATCTAGTTCCAGATCCCCTGTCATAGGAAGGGACATCTTCTACCAGAGCAAGTTGCTCAAAGCCCCATCCAACCTGGCCTTGAGCACTTGAAGAGATGGGGCATCTACAACTTCTCTGGGCAGCCTGTTACAGTGCCTCACCACCAATGAAGAATTTCTTCCTAATATCTAAGTTAAATCCCTCCTCTGGCAGTTTAAAGCCATTCCTCTTTGTCCTGTCACCAAATGCCCTTGTAAGAAGTCCCTCTCCAGCTCTCTTGCAGAACCCCCTTTAGGCACTCTAAGGGTGCCTCAAGATCTCCCTGGAGCCTTCTCTTCTCCAGGCTGAACAACTCCAGCTCTCTCAGCCTGTCTTCATAGGAGAGGTGCTCCAGCTCTCTGAGCATCTTTGTGGCTTTCTCTGGACTTGCTACAACAGGTTCATGTCCTTCTTATGAACAGAGGAGGGGGGTAGTGTGGCCATCAGGTCAAAGGAAGTGATTCTGCCCCGCTATGCCGCTCTCATGAGTCTCCACCACTCAGCAGCAATGGTGGGGTCTCATGAGGGTGGCATAGGGGGGCAGAATCACTTCCTTTGATCTGATGGCCACACCACTTTTTATGCAGACCAGGATGCATTTGGCTTTCTGGGCTGTAAATGAATATTTCCAGGCCATGCTGACCTTCTCATTAACAACTCCCAGACCTTCTTTTAGGGCTGTTCTCAATCCATTCTCCCCCCGCCTGTATTTGTGCTTGGCTGCCCTAACCCAGGTGCAGAACTTTGCACTTGGCCTTGCTGAATTTCATGAAGTTTGCACAGCCCAATCTCTCCAGCCTGTCCAGGTCCCTCTGTGCCATCCCTTCCCTCCAGTGTGCTGACTGCACCACACAACTCCGTGTTTTGCTGAGAGTGCACTCAATCCCAATGTCTGCGTCAACGACAGAGATGTTAAGTAGTACTGGTCTTGATACCAACACTTTAGGAATGCCACTTCCACTGCTGTCCATTTGAACATTGAGCTGTTGACCACAGCTCTTTCAGGGCAACTATTCAGTCAATTCCTTATCCACTGAGTGGTGCCTCTGTCAAATTTGTGTCTCTCCAGTTTAGCGACAAGTCATGTGGGACAGTGTCAAATGCTTTGCTCATGTCCTAGAAAATCCAGCAGAAATGGTTTGCATTTGACTTTACAGAATTTCTGGGTGGGGCTATGAGCTGCTCTTCCTCGTGAAGAAAGGAAGAGAATACACTCATCCCTGTGACAAAAGGCAGGAAGAGAATAGGACACTGGTCCTTTTTATTAATAGCTTGCATACCAAAGTCACCAGGCAGTCAGCTCTTTTAAAAAGTAATCTTCACACCAGACTTTCTGAGGTTGAATGCCACTTAAGAAATGGGAAGGCTGAGCATTCTGCTCAGTAGGTGCCTGAATGCATGCAAATGAATGTAAATGTATGCAAAACAGCAAGGTGTGTTTTTTCTTTTCTGGAGGATTTTGGCCAGTGTGGCTGGGAAGGTGTCAAGCACAGTGACAGTTTTCTGATGTGGACATCTGTCCCTCAGACTGAGACCATCTGCTTTGTTTTCCCATATACAAGAAGGAAGATACATTTCCTTCAGCCTAGCTAAGGGATAAAATTTGGATGCAGAAACATTGCAAAGAAAGCATGAGCACCAAATAGGATCTGAAATCCAACACTCCCAGCCAGTGTGATGTAGCAAGCAAATACACGGGAAAGGTCATAACTTATGTCATCTCTCCATGGGTATGAACATCAACTGAAAGTTCAGTGGAATAGAGGATTTCAGCCCAAATCTTTTTGCAGTGAGTGGAAAAAGGAAGAAGGTGCACGCTGGGGTGTAGCAGATGTGCTGCTGCTGATCTAGTGGGACTGTTTAGGGAAACACCATTTTCCATCTGCTTTGTACCACACCCCAGCTTGCATCTGCTTCTCCCCTGGAGCTGAGCCACATTCACACACTCTGACAATGCTCCCAATCCACTTCAGGGGCTCATCTGATTTGTGCAGCAATAGCTGACTTTGTGCTGAAGCAAACTGGGAGCTCCCAGTTAGTTCATTAACATGGTTCAGCTGAAGGATAGAAAAGTGACTGGAGGCATAAATCACCTTTTGTCCACAAAATGTCCTCTGCTCATTCCCAATTCTATGAGAGCTTAGGCCAGCTTGCTTGGCTGCACTGAAATGGGTTTGACTCACTCATGTTATTAGTATGGTTCAGGTACAGAGGTGACAGCAAACGGTGTGAAGTGGCAATATCTTAGATAATTGTGTGTCTTCACTGATGGGCATGGTATTTCCAGGCCATCAGACAGCCCCCAGTCAAGTCCATCATTATCATAATTGTGCTTAATTACCACCTCAACCTGCGCTAATGAAGCAGCTGATAGAAACAAATATTCTTGCTTCCTCACTTCTGACAATTTGTTTAGAGGCCAGATAGGTGCCTTTCAAATCTTCTTCAATATTTTTGCACCGGCAAGGCTTCCTGTCTTCCATGGCAGCATCCAGTGAGAGCAAAACAAGTGAGAGCAAGGCAGGAAATTTTTGGCAGGTGAGAGCAGTTAGGATCAAATTATAGGAACAGATTCAAAGCTATGCAGAAGCCTAAGAAAGGTTTGGGGACTTAAAAAAAACATATTTGTGCCTAGCTCTCCTTTCTAGGCACCATCGAAGAATATGGGACAGGTACAGAGGGGGTCTTGCTTCAGCCAGAATGATTTTGTGAGGAGAAAAACCACAAGGAGTTGGGCAAGTACATCTTCTAGTTTTTTGATGCATGTTTCTGTCCTCGACACCGTTCTGCTATTTCACATGTAGATTTCCCAGTTTGGTTGTTCTTACTTTACTGCTGTTGTCAGCTGGCTTGCATTAGGGGCAGCATCCCTTGCAAGAGGGGCCCGGGGCTGTTCTTGTGCAGCATCCTCTGTGCAGAATGTGAATGTGTCTGGGGGCTCTGCTTCTCTCCTGGCTCAGCTGCAGGTAGTGTGGGGTTCTGTGTGGAAGATGTGTTTTCTGACAAGCCCTGTCTGAAAAAGCTTTTTAGCATGTAGTGTGAGGCTGCCTGAGCTCTATGTCCCCAGGGACATCTACAATGACAATTCATTCTATGACAGCCCCAATGTGTGAAATGAAATGTAATTGACAAAATTGTGAGGTCTGCATAGTCTGCTCCAGGCTTCATCAAATCCTGAGGCAAAGTTATATGGTTGGTGTAATTCACAGGACTTAATTCTCTCTGGTTTCATTTGTCTTGGGCTTTGGTAGCTTCTGGGAGTTCTGGTTGAGTTAAC